CGGACGCCGAGCGAAGTCCCTCGAGGCCGAATCCCACGCGAATAGGTGTTTGCGTTGCCTCTGCAGCGCAGCTGGCGGGTGCAAAGAAGGGTGGGAGGAAGCGGTCTAAAAATAGGGCATTGCAAGAACTCGCCTGAGTGGGGTTCGCGGTTTAACCAAAAATCTGTCTATTCGGAATAAGCTCGCCCTGCAGTTGCCGAGCAGCTCGCGGTCTCTCCCAGGGCGAGCCTCCATCCTTGAAAAGTGTGGGAGACGGGCCCGTCCAAAGTTACCAAGCCACGAGCCCCACCCCCACCCAAGTGAGGCCTTCCAGCCAGCTCGTTCTTCAAAAGTCTCATTTCACCCAGAAGACTTGTTGATTCAAACATCTGACCCACACAGTTTGGAAGGGAGGTTAGCAGAGATAGATGGCCACCCTGCCTCTCCGAGGGACTGAAAAATAACCGAAACTTTAAAAAAGGAAGACCGATCTAGCCCTGCCCTGAAGACTCCCCAGGATTTCCCATTTGGGCATTTGCATAAGGCCATCTCTATCAGTTGTGGGGGCTCGAGTTGGGGAAGACCGCCATACAGTGTGGCCTCGGGTTTTAGGGAAACTCCCCCACATATTCCAGCACATGCTGAGATAATCCCTCTGCTCAGGAACCATAAAATCTCAATACAGGCCCTGGCTAAGCATGCTGTTAAAATGAACTGCAGTTTAGGGTGAAGATTTTTTTGTTTTTAATCTCCATTTTAGAGAAAGCCAAGGCTTTGGAGAACGAAACTTGCTCAGGTCCTAAAGGGAAAGAAATGAATCTAATGAAATCCTATTGATCCTAAAGTCCATTCACAAATCAAGTATGTCTGTCATCAAAGTCACAGCCTGGGGCCTGTTGGAATCTTGAAAACTCCTATGGCCTCTTGTCCTCTGCTTTGCTATGGTCTCACTGTTGCACTGCTAAATCCACCATAAAAAAGTATTACATGCTATCTTCAGTGTTTTCCCTTACATTCTTCTAATTCACTAATCTTTGAAGCAAGTTGTGATCTCAGAAAGCACCAGCATACAACATAGAAACGTGTTTCAATTCATGTTTCATTTATTCATTTATCATTACAGTTTCAGTTAATTACAACCTTAGTAAACAGTGTCTCTCCCACTCCTCTTTAATGGCTATTTATGTTAGTATCACCATATAACTTCTAAACAGATATACTTTTTGATTTTATTGTATGTGTGTGTGTGTGTGTGTCTGCACATGCATACACACACTTACTCAGGTAAGTGTACTTGGGCTTGAACTCAGGCCCTGGGCACTGTCCCTTATCTTTTTTGCTTTGGCTAGTGCTCTGTAGCTTGAGCCATAGCTTTGCTTCTGGCTATTTGTTGGTAAATTGCAGATAAGTCTCATTTTTCTGCCCAGGTTGGCTTTGAGCTATGATCCTTAGACCTCAGCCTCTGGTATATCTAGAATTTACAGGTATGAGCAGCAGGAGCCCGGCTGATTCTATGTTTTCACTATTATTCTCATTGGTTCTGAACTCCTTAAAATCCATTTGCAAGTATTACTGGAGCTTCATTAAAAGTGTGTTTCCGATCTTCTGTGAGCCTCATCCCATTGAATAACAGGCCAGTGATGATACAATTTACTGACTTGAGGATGTGTAGAGAGCAGCTTTAGAGATTAAATCCTGTTTGCCATCCAAGTAGAATTGTTGAGTAGTTGATGATGTCTATAAATAGAGGTGTAATCCAAGACTGGAATTGTCAGCTTTAAGATCCATGTTATTTAATGTCCCAGGAAGATAAGCAGTCATGAGAAGTCATGAATGGGAATTAAGTACTGGTCACTCCTCTGTTCAGATGGTGTGAAGAGGAGGAGCCAGAAATAGAGACTTAACCACCAATGAGTCAAGAAGCAAACCAGAAGAGTGTGGTATTCTGAAAGCCAAATTGTAACCATGTCTCAGCAAAGAGGTCCTAAGTGGCCCTTTATTGTTGGGAGGTTACCTGAGAGGAACGTTGAGATGTGATTGTTGAGATGGAGATTTGTTGCTCATCCTCCTATGAGCCTGGAATGCTTTGACCAGAACCGTACTTTGATGGATCATGGGAAAAGGGGAGAGAGGAAGAATGAGCAATTCCTTGGTGATAGTTTACTATAACAAAGAGCAGAGATACAGATTTAAAACTGGGGTGGACTTTGGGTCAAGGCAGATATATACTTACTTTAAGACTGAATTTACCACTGTGTATTTGTTTGCTAAGGCTCAGTAAATGGAAATTCTGGTGACTCATAGAACAAGAATGGTATTTTAAGCAACAAAATGCTTTCCTGAACAGATGAAGGAGATCAAGATAGAGTTAAAAGAAAATAATAATGATAAGTTGAAGGAGCAAGGATAGGTGGTAGCAGGTTGCTAAGTTTGGAGGTTAGAACATACAGTTATTCCCTGGAAACAGGGAAAGGTGGAAGTCCACATCTCCATTTCACAGCAAGAAAACCAAAATTCAGGTACTGCATAAGGCCTCACAAACACTAACTAGCAGAATTTAGATTCATTTTAATGTCTTGAATCTGTTTTGGGATATTGATCCTGACCTATGGAAACCAAGGTTTCTATATATCTGTCACTGTTACCGGGACTAAAATGGATTCATACTGAACTAGTTGGGCTCAGAAGCTGGCTAATTATTGTGCTGGCATTAGGCTCTCAATCTTGTTCAGCTTCTCTAAGCTTCTGTTACCTTGTTTCTGAGATGGAAACACGAATAATAAATGTGTTGTATGAATTAAGTGAAACAGTATACATGTAAGTGCTTTGTAAATGGGAAAGTGCATTTCTACATAAATGGAGGTCGATGATTCATATAGTTGTAGCTCACACTAAATAGATTCAGAGACTTGCTAGGCAGAGCTATTTTGAAACGCGTGGCAAGGGCCAGAACTGAAGTGTTTGCTTGCTTATGTAACATGACAGAGTAACTAATGTTAAGCATTGGAGGATTTGGTGCTAAAGTAAGTATCTCTGTACTTGGAGTAAGAGTGAGAATCATACCACTGCCAAAATGTGTGAAAATTGCTTCAAAGATGCCAGTCTGTCAACACAGATAAAGGGTAGAAGATGATACAAAAGATTCAGGGCAAATATCTTAATGAATAACACAGTCTAAACAGTGTTGTCTTAGCATGCTCACCAGTCTCATTGTCCTGCTTGGCACTGGACACAAGACACTTTATAATGCATGATAAGATTACAGTTATTAGTTATATTGACTTTGTATCCAAAAAATGACATCATGGTGGTGGGGATTTGGCTTAGGATATAAACAGTGCTAGTAAACGATCACATTTAAATTATGTCAATCTGATGTTGATTCCATGTGAAAACTTTCTATTGCTTTATGTGTGTATATGAATACATATATGTACACACATATCAATGTATATATACAAATATATTTGTTGTTTTTTGTCATTGTGGGGCTTGAACTCAGGGTCTGAGAGCTGTCCTTGACTGCTTCAGCTCAAGGCGAGCACTCCACCACTTGAGCCACAGCGCCATTTCCAGTTTTCTGGTGGTGTTTTGGAGATAAAAGTCTCACGGACTTTCCTGCCCGGGCTGGCTTTGAACCGTGATCCTCAGATCTCAGCCTACTGAGTAGCTAGGATTACAAGTGTGAGCCACTGGCACCCAGCTTCATTTGTTGTTGGTGGTGGTGGTCATGGTGCTTGAACTCTAGGCCTGGGTGCTGTCACTGAGCTCTTCAGCTCAAGGCAAGCACTCTACCGCTTTAGCCACAGCCCCACTTCCAGTTTTCTGGTGATTAATTGGAGATAAGAGGCTTTGAACCGTGATCCTCAGAGTAGCTAGGATTACAGGCATGAGCATCAGTGCCCAGCCATACATATATTTTAAACATGTACTATATATGTACATATATGAATATATACACATTTTATATACATATGTATTTTAAATTGCTGATTTATATCACTTTATATCATCATTGAATGGATAAATGAGTATTCTTTCTTTTAGAAATTTATTTAGGTTGTTTGGGTTTTTTTGGTCCTGGGACTTGAACTTAAAGTCTAGGTACTGCTCCTGAGTTTTTGTGCTCAAGTCTAGTGCTGTACCACTTAAGCCACAGATCCATTTCTGGCTGTGTCGGGGGGGGGGGGGTATTGGGTGTGTCTGTGGTTAATTTGAGCTAAGAATCTCACAGACATTCCTGTCCAGGGTGCCTTTGAACCAATATCCTCAGATGGCAGCCTCCTGAGTAGCTAGGAGTATTGGTGTGAGCCACTGGGGCCTGGCTATTTCATTTGTTTTAAAATCTTCTTTTTCCTTCATAAATACTCTTTGAATTCCAAGTGCAGCTAAATGTAACTTTGATCACAGTTACCTTTATAGAAATTAATTTGTCATCTAAACAGTGTTTAGTATCACATAAAATATTCTATCTGTGTGTCTGTGTGTGCTGCTATTCTGGCTTGAACTTACAGCTTGTGCTCTCGCTCAGCTTTATTCACTTAAGGCACTCTACTACCACCTCCACTCCAGCCTTTGCTGGTTAATTGGAGATAAGTCTCATGGTCTTTTCTACCCAGACTAGCATTGAACTGAAAGAGATCTCAGCTTCCAGGTAGCTAGGATTTCAGGTGTCAGCCACCAGTGCTCAGCTTTAAGGTATTCTAAAGGACCCATGTTTAACACCTGGTAAAATGTCTTTTGAATTCACTTTATGTTCTAGTTTTGATGGATATCGAAAGGCATTTGGTAACAGTAAAGTTGATTATTCACTAACATACTTGAAGACCAAAGTTTTTGGTGCAAATGAGAGAAATAGAATGTCAGCATATGTTGCAGTGTAACATTGTTGAAAAGTCCTTTATAATATTTCCATTGATCTTGACAGGATGATGATTATTTGAGGTTTCCTTATGGATGTTCATTATTTTAGGCTTGTTCTGGAAATTCTCAGAAAAATTCTGCATGTAAACAAGAGTTCCACTTTTTATTCTAGGCTGGCGATTCCACAGAAGGGACCGCCAAACCAAAGAGAAGTTTTTATGCTGCGAGAGATTTGTATAAATACCGACATCAGTACCCAGTAAGAGTTCAGAATGCTGTTTTGTTTTTTTTAATTATAAAACCTTTTCCTTCTGTCTTATTAATTTTATGGTGCCCAGGGGAAAACCTGACTTTTTTTCAAGTAAATATTTGTGTATATTAGAGATTTATTTATTTTTTCTTTAGCAGAACTTCAAAGATATCCGCTATCAAAATGACTTGAGCAATCTTCGTTTTTATAAGAATAAAATTCCATTTAAACCAGATGGTGAGTAATCTATGTTGATAAAAAGCAAACTTTATATAATGACATACACGAGTACTTTTTTGTCTCTTCCATGGTTAGTACATTCATACTGCATTTGTTCATTAGACTACCATTTGGTTCAGTGTGTCCCCAGAGTGACAGGCTCTGGAATTGGGGATATTCATGTGATAAATTCTAGAGAAATGATTGATTAGTGATATTTTCCTACTACTCGTATACCGCAACCTGAGGGTAGGAGGGACAATTTGTGTGTGTATAAGAGAGAGAGCACAGAGAAGAAAGGGAATTTATACAAGCATAAAATTTTAGCTTATAAAGGACTTTAGAGAAGATAGTACTCTAGTATCTCATTTAAAGATGAACTCATTGGTATTTAAAGCCTGAATGACTGGCTTGCGGGGCACTCATTGAAATGTAGCCTTGGATCCAGGTCCCAAGGTCCACTGCGTTTTCTAGTATGTGACACCTAGAAATTATTTAGAATGTGAATGAAAGTGTTATGTGAATTTGGAATTGTTTTTCCTGTTACTTTTAAGAATTAGGGCTTAAGCCTATAATACTAGCTGTTCAGAATGCTGAGATCTGATGATCTTGGTTCAAAGGCAGCACAGACAGAAATTGCTATCTTCAATTAACCAGCAAAAAGCAGAAGTGGAGGTATAGGTCAAGTTTTATACTGCCAGCCTCAAGCAAAAATGCTACACAAGAGTATGAGGCCCTGAGTTCAAGACCCAGTACTGGCACAAAAACAAACAACAAAAAACTAGGGTTTAGCAAGCTGTACTCATTCCCCCTGAGTGTTTAAGGACTGTGGGAAGAGGACACAGTAGATTTGTTTTTGCCATCCAAATATGTCTCTCTCAAAACTCTGTAATTTCCCTCATAGGATCTTTTCTAATGTGCAATGAGAGGGGGCAGGTATTGTGGGAATCTTACCTCAAACATCTCCTATTGTTGTAGAACACTGTCTGGGGTTCATGGTGGGCATCCTAATTCTTTCCAGGTCAAACCAGCAAAGCTGATGCTGCGGTTTTCTGTGTCATTTGACCAGGTGTTTTTTTTTATTTTTCCTCTTCCTCTCAATAAACATAGAGGCAAATTTACAACAAAATGTGAGTCAGGGAATGAGGGCCATAGATTGTAAGAGCTAGCATTCTTTGGCTAATAAACTGGAAGGAGCAGTAGTAAGAACTAGAAGGAGCAATGGAAAGAGGAAATCCCAACATAGTATGTAGCCCTAGAAATGTACCAGTTGGACTTAATAACCTTGCTGAAATGTCAAATCTACAATGTTGAACTATCACAAAATTCTGCCCCGATTTAGAGGGAAGCACAAAAGTGAACTGTTATATTTTCTCGTGTGTGTGTGTGTGTGTGTGTGTGTGTGAGAGAGAGAGAGAGAGAGAGAGAGAGAGAGAGAGAGAGAAAGAAATGGAGAAGTAAGAGAGAGTATGATACTGAGGCCTAGGAGCTGTCTCTGAGCTTTTTGACTCAAGGCTGTTGACCCACAGCTCCACTTCCAGCTTTCTTTTGATGGGTAATTAGACATAAGCTTCTTGGGAACTTTTCTACCCTGGCTGGCTTCAAATCATGATTCTAAGATCTCAGTCTCCTGAATAGCTAAGATCATAAGTGTGTACCACTGTGCCTAGGTAGAAGTACACATTTTGTTAACCAGTGGAAATATGTTAATTAAATTGCTGGAGTTTTTTTTAACTTGGAGGTAAAAAAAATCTTTTGAAGAAATGTAGCAATAGAGCATTCATCTAACTGATTTAAATTTCATAAAATCTAGCTAAAGGAATGCCTGCATGTATTAAAAATGTTAAACATGAATTCATGATGATATTTAATTCTATTTTTTGTGTTTCTAGTAGTGAATTAATTAATTAATTAATTGTGTCAGTCCTGAGGCTTGAACTCAGGACTTGGGCACTGTCACTCAGCTTTTTCATTCAAAGCTAGTGCTCTACTATTTGAGCCATAGAGCTACTTTCAGCTTTTTGGTGGTTAATTACCAACCTCCTGCTGAGGCTGGTTTTGAACTGTGATCCTCAGATCTCAACCTCTCTGATAGCTAGGATTACAGGAATGAGCGACTGGCTCTTGACAATGAATTTATTTTTGAAGTAATTACAATACTAAGGTCAAGCAATACATTACATTTTTATATTCTTTATTAAAGGATCTATTTTAAAATCATATGAGATTGGTAAGAGTCAGATATTTTAGATAAGGTCACATAAAATGTTACTCTAAGGCGTTATATGAATGACACCAGCTCACACCTTTTCTCTCTGGTATCTACAACACGCACATACTGCTTGGAATAGTTTCTCTTTGTATGAGTAGAGAGGATAGAAGTGTTGTTCAAGTGGTAGAGTGCCAGCCGTGAGAAAGAGCATGAGGCCCTAAGTTCAAGTACCATACTAGTACACACACACATTCAAGTGCAAGCATTCATGTGCCAAGTTCTATACATGGGCAGAGAGTAAATAGTTAATATTTTTGCATAACAGTTATTATTGCAACTAACCAACTCTGCTCTTGTAGTAAAAAGCAGCCACTGATAATACATATGTGCATGTGAATGGCTGAGTTCCAATAAAACTTTACAAAATAGCTGGCAAACCATGGTTTGCCCACTTGTGTTTTGAAGTACATTGACCAATGGAATATTCTGTGATTTGATGTAGCACTTACTATTTTTTTCTGTCGGTGGTAGGGCTTGAACTCTGGGCCTGTGTGCTATCCCTGAGCTCTTCAGTTTAAGGCAAGCGCTCTATCACTTGAGCCACAGCACCACTTCTGGGTTTCTGGTGGTTAATTGGAGAGAAGAGTCTCATGGACTTTCCTTCCCCGGGATGGCTTTGAACCACAATCCTTAGATCTCAGCCTCCTGAATATCTAGGATTACAGGTGTGAGACACTGGCGCCCAACTTATTTTTTAATTAGGTTTATTACATAACAAGTATATGCAGAAGTAGCACTGTGGCTCAAGTAGTAGAGTGCTCATCTTGAGCTGAAGAGCTCAGGGACAGTGCCCAGGCCCAGGGTTCAAGCCCCATGACTGACCATGAGTATATACTATGGTATATTCATCTTTTAAGAGCATTATTCATATGCACAATTTCAATTCATTTTTAAGTTTTGAGGTAGAATTTGGGTTTCAAATGTGAAAATGTTTCTATGACGTTGTTTCACTTTCTGAATATTCTCTCTTTAGGTGTTTACATTGAAGAAGTTCTAAGTAAATGGAAAGGAGATTATGATAAACTGGAGCGCAACCACACTTACATTCAATGGTCAGTTTACGTTCTCTTTCTGGAACTGTGCCCTGTTTATTGTGTGTGTTTTCTAGACAATGTTAATAGAGAATTTTTATTTTTTTAATAAACAGGCTTTTCCCCCTGAGAGAACAAGGCTTGAACTTTTATGCTAAAGAATTAACTACATATGAAATTGAGGTAGTGTAAGCTCATTTCATTTATTCATTTTATCATTTTTTAAATCCTTAGGAGCTTTCAATATGATATGTCAGTTTATGAGTACAATGCATCTTGAATAAAATGGTCAAATAATATTATCATCTTATTGTCCTGGTAACTACTAATAATCTCAGTGGGCTTTTTCTGTTTCTGTTTATTTTCATACTCAGGAATTCAAAAAAACAAAAGAAGCAATTCGAAGATTCCTTCTGGCTTACAAAATGATGTTAGAATTTTTTGGCATAAAATTGATTGATAAAACTGGAAATGTTGCTCGGGCTGTTAACTGGCAGGAAAGATTTCAGCATTTGAATGAGTAAGTCAAGCTCTGGGCATGAATCAGTCATCTTCCATTGGTCAGAGTTCTCTACAGGAAATAGGTACAGCTGGCATTTGGACCCAGGGATTTGGGTTTAAAATCCAGTCTCAAAGGCATTTTATCATCTGTTCTACATCCAAAAACCAAACCAAACAATAGCTAAAAAGAAGGAAATATAGGTAGAAAAATCTGATATTCAACTTCAAAGCTGTTTCTTCCTCAAATTGTTTGCCACAGTTATGTATGGCCTCTGTCTCAGAGCCATATTTCTCAGAATTTATGGTGACTGCCTATTTACAGTTTTTCCTATCCCGTCAACAAGGCTGTATGCTGCTTGGGGTAAAAAATCATTCCGTAAAAGTAAGACATGCCCATTCTAAAACAAGGGAAATTGTTATTATCTTCATTGAGATTAAAAGAAAAACACATTTTGGGCTAATAAATCCTAAGACCTATAAAGAAAAAAATACAGTTTATTTGGATTTTGTACATCATTTTTATTGTTATTATAAAAGTGGTGTACAAGGGGTTACTGTTTCATAAGTCAGGTAATAAGTACATTTTTTTTAGGCAATGTTAACCCTTCCTTTGCTCTCCCAGTTTTTTCCTTCCATCCCCACCCACAAGTTGTACAGTTCATTTTCAACATAGTGTCTAGTGTACACCACTGCTGCATTTGTTCATCCTTTGTCCCTCCATTTCTGTACTACCTTCACACCCTCCCCAGATATATAAATGAACAAATAAGTCAACAAATAGGAAAAAAAAAACCTTGTTTCCATTTCCTGGAATTCCTTTCTATAAATATTATTTTATATGATCAGATCCATTATTTAGATTCTTAAAGCTATATTTTACTTGGATATTTATAACTTTCGTTAGTACTTGTAACCAAAGTTTAGTTTTTAAAATATTTTCTTTATATGTGAACTGGCTTTTTTGATTCCTTTTTAATTATAGGGTGATTATGAGTACTAGACTCCAAAACCAACAGTTTTGAAGCACTTTTTACAGCACATTATAATTAGCTGAGCTGGGCAAGTACTAAGAGAAAAGAATTTAAAGCTAACATAAGCATTTTCTGTTTGGCCAGAATCATCCATGTTGGCATCAGCTGTTTGAGTCCCTGATATTTTTGCAGACTTTTTACCTTATTTTGGTAAAATGAGTATAAATATGAATGTCTAGCTTTTTTTTACTCTGTGATAAACAATGCTACTAAAATGGTAACTTGTTCTATAAAAAATTAATGTGCATTAAATCTTTTCAATCCTAACTGGAAGATTCATTCATTTATAATTCACATGAAATATATGTACTTCTAACTAAGAAATGCCAATTACATTGCTAAACAAACTTTCTAAGCATTGTATCACACTTCCAAAGTTCTGTTCAAGAATGTCTAGGCACTAGACTGATGACTATCATCTTAGCTATTTAGGAAGCTGAGATCTAAGGATAGTGCTTGAAAGCCTTCCCAGATGAGACTCTTACCTCCAATTAACCACCAAAAATCTAGAAGAGGATCTGTGATTCAAGTGGTAGAATGCCAGCCTTGAGCCGAAAAAGCTAAGGGACAGCATCCAGGCTCTGAGTTTAGCCCCAATACCAACACACACACACACACACATACACACACACACACACTCACACTCTCTCTCTCTCTCTCTCTCTCTCTCTCTCCAGGCTCTGAGTTTAGCCCCAATACACACACACACACACACACACACACACACACACACTCCAGGCTCTGAGTTTAGCCCCAATACACACACACACACCATCCAGGCATCCAGGCTCTGAGTTTAGCCCCAATACCAATACACACACACACACACACACTCACACACTCCAGGCTCTGAGTTTAGCCCCAATACCAACACACACACACACACACACACACTCCAGGCTCTGAGTTTAGCCCCAATACACACACACACACACACCATCCAGGCTCTGAGTTTAGCCCCAATACACACACACACCATCCAGGCTCTGAGTTTAGCCCCAATACCAACAAACACACACACACTGTATGTGTAAGGAAGAACTCTGTTCATATGAAGGATGGTTAAAGTAAACCTTAGGAAAAGCCTTCACAGCACCCAGGCTCTGAGTTGAGCCCCAACACACACACACACACTCTCTCCTTCTCTCCCTCTCTCCCTCTCTCCCTCTCTCCCTCTCTCCCTCTCTCTCTCTCT